ACTACAAAGTCCTTTTCAAAAGTGTGTAATTGAAGTGCTGACGTGTTTGTATCAACTAATTATATGGGCCTTTTCCTGGTGAGCGTGAGAAGTGGAGTGGCTTTAGCCTAGAGGTGTACAAGGTTGATTGGTTAATCACCATTAAAGTCATATTTGACCATTTTGTTCAAGGGGCATGGCACTCCAAGAATTGCTAGTCTTTTTGGATCCTCTGATAAGGCATGTTGGAGGTTTCATTAATTCCTTAACTGGGGGGAATTGTTAGTTTTTGGTGTTGGCCATTTTGCTAACGTGCTTTAGCCATTGAAAGTGCAATCCCTTGCTGAGTTACTCCACTCTAAGTCTGCTGATCTTAATGGGCTTAGACTGGAGTAACCCTTCATAGGATCACACTGTAGATCAAGTAGGAGCCGGCACAGACATAGCACTCTTGGTAGCTTAACTATGGCTAGCTGATTGGAAGGCTGGAGGATTTTGTTGCTCCTCTAAAACAAGCCATACTTTCTTGCATCTCCGCTCTAGTAACCACACCTTGCCGGTCGGTTTTCAACCATGTTGCAACAGTAATTATGTTAATTATGGCTGTAGCACTAACCGAGGCTCCCTTTCCACCAGGGATTGCTAAACTGCTTTAAATGCCGGTTTGATATCCTAATTAAGAGTGGAACTCTCTTAAATGTAATCACAGTTTACTTTAATGCCAATAACAGCTGTGGTTAGGAGAAGTGGGGCTCATCCAAAGAAGGGAGAAGGTTGCTTGATTCCATTGGCTGTTCTCTACTGTATTGCTTATTGTAGTGTATGATACTGTTTTATTTCATCCTTCTCTAAAGTTCTAATCCTGTTTTGTTGCATTGTTCATTGCATGTATTATACTGGTCTTTATTGCATTTAAAAAAATAACTTTGTAATTTGCTTTTAGCCTTAATGAAGAATATGGATTGTAAATGGAATTATAATTGGCCACAGTAAAATTTGTACTAGGCTTGAGATGCAACACCCTTCTAGATATTGTGGATGAACTTGGAGCTTTTTGCATATGTTGCTTTGCATTTTATTGCTCACTTGCTTACTATGTGTAATTGTGGAATTTGGCAGAGTGTGTCTGTTGTCAGGTTTTCTTATCTTCTACTAGGAAGCTGCCCATTGAATGGGCCTGTTACTGAGATAGTGTCTTTGGGTGAGAATGTTAATTTCTCCTTTTTTCTCTCTCAAAAAATCCCCTCAGAGTTCCTCGTCTTTGGAGAGTAATTTAGAGGGCCTGGCTGGGGTCTTGGAGGCAGATCTACCAAACTACAAGAGCAAGATACTACGACTCCTTTGCACAGTGTATGTATGCGAAAGGTTTATGGATCCAGGTGATAAAGTATTACCTACACTAAACATTTTAAAGCGCCCCTTTGCTTTTTATATGTGTGCATTTAAGGGCCTTTCTCTTTGAAGTACTGGAACTGGGAAGGAAACTTGAGCAGCTGGGAATGAGCAAATTGAGTAAAATGTACTGGAACTGGGAATAAGTTGAGCTCGTGTAATTGGCATATTCTTCCTCAGTGCATATGTTTGACATTGATGGTTAGAAATTTGCTGTTTATGACGTGGGTTGCAAAAACAGTAAAGACAGTAAATAAATAGGTGGTTATCTATTTAGTTTATTGGATTTATATCCCACCCTCCCCGCATAGCAGGCTCAGGGCAGGTTCCATCAGACATAATAAACAATATACAGCATACAAAGAATTAAAACAGTTAAAACACCAATAAAATACGACAACATTCCTCTGGTACAAGTCATAGTTAAAGCCTCACAGGTGCCATCTATTTCAGGTTTTAGTCCTTGGGTGGTAATGCAGGGCTGACTGACTGGGGGAAGGCCCGTTAGATAGAGGGGGATGTCTGCCACCTTAACTAAAAGCCTGGCAGAAGAGCTCCACCTTGCAGGCCCTACAGAGCTGTAGAAGGTCCCGTAGGACCCTGATCTCCTATGGGAGCTCATTCTACCAGGTAGGGGCCAGGGTTAGACAGACAAGACGACCCTGGGGCCGGGACCACCACCAAAAGATGGTTAGAAACAATGTCAGGATTTAGTTAGGAACTTGGGGACTCAGGGCAACAGTGTTGTGGGTATTTCTCTCGATCACCGTCCCTGATCTGCAAGGATGGGTGATGTGCACAGCTACCTAGCTGTGGAGCTTAAACAAGCAAAGCAAAGAGTCAAGGATATTTCAGAGTCCTATCGAATTCTGTGGTCAGGGAGAGAGAGTTGGACCAGTTCACCATCAGAGATGCTTTCCTCCAGCAAAAGGAGCCTTGGCCTATCATTGGAGGAAAGTGTCTCAGCTGACAGAAGGGATCTATGAGAGCCAATCCAGAGCCAATTCTGGCTTTACCATCCAGAGATGCAAAGTTTACATCTGCTTCTTGAGGTTTGCTATGCGTAAGGATGCTGATACAGTGGCTGTAGTCTGAGTTAATATCTTGTATTTTCTTTGTCTCCTTTTCATGAAAAAAAAAAATCAGTGCACGTTTGTTACCAGAAAAGCTGACTGTTTACACGACTCTAGTTGGCTTGCTGAATGCCAGGAACTACAATTTTGGTGGAGAGTTTGTGGAAGCCATGATTCGTCAGCTCAAAGAGTGTTTGAAAGTCAACATGTATAATGAAGCTGTGTATTTAGTAAGTTTTTTTGTTTTTTGGAGTGAGTCTTACAGTTATGTGGCTTGTCTTGCTGACCAGGAAACCTGAAGGGCCCGTGTTTCCTCTTGCAGGGGATATTGTGGAAAACTGAATGTTGCGCAGACTCATTTGAAAGTTTTGTGCTGGCCTCTCTTGTAGCTTCATTATAGCAACCCTGAAGGGCTGATGTTGTGTCATATTTTGAACTGAATACACCTGAAGCTGCCTTATCAGACCTTTGATCCGTCAAAGTCAGTATTGTCTACTCAGACTGGCAGCTGTTCTCCAAGGTCACAAATAGAGGCCGTTCACATCACCTACTGCCTGGTCCTTTGATCTAGAGATGCTGGGGATTAAACCTGGGAACTTTGTGTGCCAAGCAGAGGATCTACCACTAAGGCACAGCCACTTGTGCCCATATATATATTATTTATTTATTTTGATTTTTAGCCAATCTTTCCTGCAAGCAGGCGTACCTTTTTTGGGCCGGGGATAACCAGTAGATGTTGATCAGAGGTGTGCAGAGCCCTTTGAGGGACATATTGGGAGCAATGGTCCTGTAGATGTGTTGGTCCCAATCCACATAGGACTTTAAATGTTAAAATCAGGACCTTGAACTTGATCTGGAATTCAACTGGGAGCCAGTGCAGCTGACACAGCACCAGACGTATATGTGCTCTTAATGGTGTCCCCATAAGGACAGCGCTGCTGCATTCTGGACCAGCTGCAGTTTCTGGGAATCTCAAGGGTTATATTTTGTGATACGGTGCGGATGTAGTCCACATCCTAACTATTTGTGGTGAATGAAGGCTTACGGTCCAGCAGGTGGAGACATTTTTCATTCCCTTTGTCTTTTTAATGATCTACAGTAGGAAAGCAGTGCCTGTTTTTCTGTCTTGTGCCTGTTTACTTGCTTTTTTTAACCAAGGAAGGGTCTGTTATAGTTTGGCCCTGTAATTCAATCTGTAGAAAAACTGGGATTCAGGTTCATATGCTTCCCTGCCCCCCTGCACAGATGGAAGGTACTGAACCACGAAAAGCCCACGTTTGTTTATAGCTGGAATGTGGGGTTTTCTTGCAACCTCTCAGCTCATAGTGAGGGGAATGGGGGCAGAGAAGCACATGAACTGACTCCTGATAATTGCCCCTTTAGAATCCAAGTCAGCCAAGTTGGGGTGGTGGTGTTCGCCTATAAAACCCTGGAATGTTTCTGTTCTTTCTCCTAGGTCCGTTTTCTCTCTGATCTAGTGAATTGCCATGTAATAGCTGCACCTTCAATGGTAGCCATGTTTGAGAACTTTGTTGGTGTGACTCAGGAGGAGGATGTACCTCAGGTAAGTAATGATATTTTTATATCATGGATGACTTACTGTTGACATATACCACTACCACCACCTCCCAAAGGGAATATCCCCAGCATAATCAGTTTCAAGGTTTAGTCTCACTACAAATTATTTATCTGTGGCGAGAGATCCAAAGCTCTGTGAATAAGGCAGACTCTCCAATGTCAGATGGACCAGCATCACCTCTTCACACCCAAGAACCTTCCTATTGGATCATACAGTAGGACTGAACACACAGGAATTCTTTTTTAAAAAAAATTGAATTATTTTCTCAGAAAAAAGATGGGATAGAGAAGGGAAAAGGAGGTGGTGGGAAATATCAATTCATCAGGTTTTCAAATAATATAAGTTGTTTCGTACAAGTAAAATCAAATATATTACTAAATATATTACGTATTTCAAATATAGAAGAAGACATTAAAGAATAAAACACACAGGAATTCTTGTCTAGCTTTGTGTAGTGTGTGTGAAATTATGGAATTTGTTCACATTCGTGTTTCTACAATAGTTTTTGCCATGGTTGAGTTCCTGTCTACTGTGGTTGCTGGCATGCTATTAAAATTAAACATTCTGTCTTGCAGGTACATAAACTGCTTAGGAGTTTGTTCCTATCAGATTCAAGTCATTGCCTAATCGCTAGATCAGTATTTGTCTGAAAAGGTGTAATTAAGCCCCTGTTCAGCAATTGAGGAAGTACAGGTCTGGGTAAAAGCAGGGGTTAGTAGGAACAGACATTTTGTACATGGGCTGTTAAAAAGCTTTATATTCACACAAACCCTTCGTGGGGGAGATTCTATTGTGCTATGAAAGAAGAGCACAATGGCAGAATTCGAGGTTTCCTAGGAAGTGCTGGATTATTTCTTTTGTATGTTGCCTTTCCAGGACAGATGCAAGAAGGCCACTGCTGCAGTATCTTGTCCATAAAAACCTGGGGGCAGCTCTGACTTTCAGATCAAAATGTTGAGGTTTTCCTTCAGGGTTTCAAATGCAGTATATTCTTCAGACTGATCTGAAATGATCACGGCAAAGTACATATATTAAAAATAAAGTCTGATCTGTTCAAGGTAGAACCAAATAGAATTTTTATGTGATAGTGCAAGTGACAGTTGCTGATATGCACTAGCTTAGTGTTGGTGCAGAGCAGGGGAATTTAAGCAGCTCCTTGCGCAAATAATCATGTTCAGGCACATGTGCTTGTGTACATCTGTTCTTTATGCTTTTTAAAGACTTGTGCTTCAAGCATAGATCTAAAGTGCTGCTGGACATCTTAATATCCTAAGTAGATCTTTGCTATGTTTAATCTGTTGTAATTTGATTCATTATTACACTAACTTGTGACAGGAAATCTCACATGCTTTTTCCTCCTTACTGGCATGCAGTTGTACCATATCGTTTTTGTTGGACACAGGTGCGGTGTGACTGGTACGTGTATGCGTTTCTGTCATCCTTACCTTGGGTGGGAAAGGAATTGTACGAGAAGAAGGATGCTGAGATGGACCGAATTTTGTCCCATGTTGAAAATTACTTGAAGTAAGGGAACCAAGAGGCTATCTGCTGTGCTTTGTTGGGTGTTAATACAGTTGGAAAAGTGTCTTCTCTGAAATTCTTAAGTTGTAGAAGCTCTTATATGATAGTTAAGCACACATAAAATTAGATGCTGAAAACCTGAGTTCTAATATAATAGTGAAACACACTGTATATATTGCTCATTAGGAGGGACTGAGCACTTTGAAGCGGTTTGGATGTTGTGAGCCGTATACAGGACTTTTGTTTAATCATTTGTGCCCTGATTATGAATTGGTATTGTATGAATAATTTTGTTGAGGATTTGAAAATTGTATAAATGGTTTATTTGTCTATACATGAATTATTTGTTTATTATTGTTTGTTATTAATTATTGATTTCTGAAATTGGTATTGATGGCACACACAGTTGATTTCTTTGTGTTCACAGAAAAATTGAGTTAGCATTGCTGTTTGTTACTGGATAGCCCAGGCTAGTCTGATCCCATCAGATCTTGGAAGCTGAGCAGGGCTGGCCTTGGCTAGTATTTGGATGGGTGACCTCCAAGGAATACCAGGTCTGTGACACAGGGGCAGGCAATGGCAAACCATCTCTGAAATGTTTCTTGCCTTAAAAACAAGCCTAGCTCTCCACCTAGTGGTGCAAAATGCTGAAAGAGCTAGAACTTTTGGCTGCCATACAATCTTAGGATTCCCTGGCTATACTCCACACACTGTCATATGATAATAATAATTATTATTGTTACTCGGAAGCATTTGGTTTTTCTAGAACAGTGAGTGTACAGTGTAGGACTGGCCCCTGCAAGATATGGTTTGCAATTTAGGAGCAAACCCTTCCCTCCCTCCCTCATCTCAAATTCCTATGTCTGCTTCTGTCATGATTCTGTGAAATATCTGTGCTGTTGCTAATAATGGCGAACCAAGATAGTTCATAAGACACAGACTGAAATCTTAGTTTGAAGTTTAGATGGGATATTAATTTGTGTTCGACATGCAACGGGAAAACTGTGGTTAAAACAAACACGGGAAGGGAGAGGGGGAATCGTGGTGGGCATATGGTTGTTCCTACCTTGCAGACTCTGGTTTGCAGGGAGTTAGATCAACACCAGACATAGAATTTAAAGCTATCTTGCAAAAGCACTCACCTTTTCCATGGGTGCTGGACGGGAAAGGTAGGGGCAGAAATTATGCCCCCAAGACTTCATTGCTCATCATTACTACAGTTGTATATATTTTGGTGGCTCTGTTTGACTGTGGGCTTCCCTAAAAAAGAGAGAACATGCTCAGACTTTCCCTCCACTTGCAGGGCAGACTTGTTCCAGGGAAAGGCACCTCACGTTTTGACAGCTAAAATCCTGGTCAAAGTTTAGTATTGTTGAGGAGTGAAACTTAATGTGGTGGATTTTCCCCCTTTTCCTCTTGCTTCAGACGCCGTCAGAAGATTCACGTGCCCATGTTACAAGTCTGGTCTGCTGATCAACCACATCCACAAGAAGAGGTAGGTGTATCTGGACTTCTTTAAATCCGTGCCAATGCATTCACTGAAGGATGCTTGCTTTGAATGCCTAATTTTGATTTGAGCTGCTATGGGAAACTCTGATGATGAGTTTGTTGTGCTCTCCCCCTCCCCCCAAAGTTGCTGCTGTTTTAAGGAGAGGTCCTGGCTCTGGCTTTTTCAAAATAACAGTTCACTAATATTCTTTAATTACCAAAAGAACATTGGTCAAAAATGCTTGCTCATCCCCCTACCCCAGCCAGTCCTCAGAGTACTGGGTTGGGTCCAGCAGTAATATTCTACTGATGGAATGGGGAGGAATTTTGCCTGTTAAGCTGATCCTGAGCATCCCCCTGTCCTTCCAAAGTCATGTTTGGGGGGAGGGGGATTCAGTGGGCCACAGCAGGAGCTTGGAGGGAGAAAATGCCCTACTGCTGACAAAAAATGCCTTCCCTCAGCAGAAAGCTGCCAGTGAATCCAGCCCACGGCTTAAGAATGCTTAACTCCATTATCTGTGTCTGTAATATCATTTCCCAATGGCAGTTTGCAAGCTGTTAATTCTTCAGATCCCACCCATCACCGTTTCACAGGGCTTTGTGAACTAGCCTTGCCCAGTGGGGTTTTTGACTCCACCGCCCTCCCCAAACAGTAGACCCAACTTGCCATTCACCTTCTGCTTTTGAAAGTCTCCTCACTTTAACGAATACTTTGCCACATGGCAGCGGTGGGAGGGAGGGGGAAGACTGCTGTTTGCTGAGCCCTTCGTGGTCACATCAAATTAGCTGACAAGCTTTCTGAAGCTTAGAAAGCAATTGTTAGCAGCCAAATGGATCCTAATGCAAAATAAAGAAAGACAGTCCACATAATACATTTTATTAGGAGCAACTAAATGACACGTAGCAAGCAGTGTGTGAGCTTTCAAGCTCACCATAACTCTTCATCAAACTGGACGTTACCAAAAAGAAATGTTAAAACAAGTTCTTTTAAACATTTTTTGGGGGTAACATCAGCCTGTTGAAGAGTTCTAGTGAACTCGGAATGCTTGTGCACCGTTGTGTCAATTGGTTGCTCCTAATAAGAGGCTATTGTGTGGACTGTGTTCTTTGAATCTTAGGCGATGACTGCTTAGGCCAGTGATTGGGGGGGGGGGGGGGTTCCCGGCCAAGCTAGAAAATTAAGGGGGGGGGGAACCCCCATCCTGCATTGAAGAGCTTAGAAATCACGGGAAGGTCATTCTTTTTGTCATTAAGTACTTAGACTGCCTCTGGGCCCAGGTTCAGAAGCTGAAGAAAGACCACTGGCAGGAAAGGCACATTCCACGGCCCTACCTGGCGTTCGACAACGTGCTGTGTGAGGCGCTGCAGCACAATCTGCCTCCCTTCACTCCGCCACCAAACACGGAAGACTCGGCCTACCCAATGCCTAGGGTGATCTTTAGAATGTTTGACTACACGGATGATCCTGAGGTGAGCTGTGGGCAGGGGACGGGATTCGCGTGCCTGAGTTCCTTTGCTGCTGTGAAAATAAGCAGCCAAAGAATTCCCTAACTGCCGGGAGAAAGTGAAGTGTTTCTTTAAGAATTAAGCCACTATGTGGAATGTACCCATATCCTTTGGAGCATGTCACCCTGCATGGCACTGATTCCCTCCTCCGCCCATACAGGGATGGGGCATCACAACGGAGGGTTCATTGGGATTCCCTGGCACAGCTGAGCTACATCTGATGTGCTTGCAGCAGCTAACCTCACTTGGAGACTTCTCAGTCCTACTCTGGAGTGCTGCTGAAGGGGGTGGGGTGCGCAGTGCCCTTGGCACAGGGCGCTAACATCCAGCTGCTTCCTGATGCTCTTCATACAGACACTGCGTCCAGGGTGGGAGTGGGAATGCTTCCTGAAGCCCACACGTGAGCCCTTGCAGCAGGCAACAGGGAATTTTGAAGGCATCTCTGCTGTTCGGAAAGCACTGCACCATCCCTGACTACAAGCAAAGGGGAGTGTGGGATTTCTAGAAGCAATGGGGCTTCCTGGGAGTTGCAAGGAGACTGCATGGCCAGTACACTGGACCCTGAGGGGGGGGGGGCAAAGTGCATCTTCCTGAGTACCAGAGAGAAATGTGCCTGCAGTTTTAATCCAGAAAAAGACTACATTGAACTAAACTATAACTGAGGACAACCACAGGGTTAGAAGCCTTCATAGCCGGGAATCCCAAATTTTGCCTAGTCCCTATCTGAGATTTTTATTTTGTTGATTTGTTTTGTCTAAGCTGCCTGAGATCCAGAGAGCCACTGCAGCTCTTTGCAAGGGACTTACAGTTGCCAGGTAGCAATTTTGATTATTATTTTTTTTAGTAGATGCCCTTCACTTCGAAAGGCAGCTGGCTACCTGGCATAGGGAACTGCTGTTTGGAAAAAAATGAATCAAAAACTTCCTTTGTGTTCACAGAAGTAGCTTCAGAGGGTCCGATCCCATTCTTTGTTCCTAAACAGCAGCAAAACTCAACCGTGGCACATACACTTTCCAGTATGTTGAAAAGACCTGGCAAAATGTTTAAATCCTATGTAAAACACATTGCTAGAACGGTTGCCGGAACTCTAATGACGGTAGCATGATTGGACTTTGCCATTCAGTCCCAGCAATTCGAGGCAACTTTGAGACTGTCCCACTCACCTCTGCATCCTTTCCACAGGGCCCTGTCATGCCCGGCAGTCATTCTGTAGAGAGGTTTGTGATAGAAGAAAATCTCCACTGCATCATCAAATCACACTGGAAGGAGAGAAAGACATGGTGAGGAATCTTGACCTTCATATAGGACAAGCAACAGGCAGTCAAGAGGTCTTTCCAAAACCCAGTGTTGCTGAAATAGCCTACATTGTTGGGGGTGAGGGGAGGACTTTTGAGGCCAAGACTTGCATGTTTCAAAACAAACTTGGGAAGGTTTGGGTGGCTTTCTGAAGCAGGAACAACTGACTGCCAAGGATCTTGCTTAAAACAAAGTAAGAGTTCTGGAATGCAGCTCCTTGTCCCCGCAGACAGCCCAAAGCCATCTGGATGGGCTTCTTGTTTACAGCCAAGGTAGACAAGATCTGTGAATAGATCTCCCGAACATGTTTTTACTTCTAAATAATAGCTCCTGGCTGGTGTGTGTGTGTAATGTGTATCAGGAGCTGGGAGAGGAAAGGTCACCCCACCCCTAGCACTATTTTCCATCCTCAGGTTCTCTCTGTGTGTGATTTGTGGAGCAGAGCAAACAGCTACGTAGTGCCTTGTGCAGATAATATAGAACTAAAAGCATTTTTCGTGCTTCCTAGCTGGACTCTTATATATTTGTATTCTCAGTCACACAACTGCCTGTCTCTTTCTCTAGTGCCGCCCAATTACTGAGCTACCCTGGAAAGAACAAGATCCCTCTGAACTACCACATCGTTGAGGTATAAAGCAGGCATTACATTTGACTGCCCTACTAAATACAACTTATGTAGGAAACTTCAGTAAATATAATCTGTCTGTCCAGTAACAATGATATCCTGATTGGCATATTGCTCTAAAACTCACAGTACAAAGCTATGCAGAATTGCTTCACTCTGAGGCCCCTAAAATCTATGCATTCTTGATATACTTCATCTAAAATTCTTGGAACAAGGGTGGAAAAGAAACCTAAAGAAATGCCTAATTTCCAACTGTATAGGTTGTATTAGGAGCTTTAGATGAGTGGTTGGGCAAAATGTTTGAAATGCTTCCAGAGTATTTGAACAGGCCTTTAAGTGTCAGGATGTCAGTGCCTAGAATTCTCAGTGGAGGCCAGGGCAGATCAACGCACAATCTGTGTGCGGAGTTGTGTTGTTTCTTGTGCAGATTGCTCCCCATTCCCACTAATCCAGCTGTGCACAAAGGAAAACAAATCTATCTGGCGAACTGCTTACCAAGATGGCAGCAGTTCTAACTTCAGAGTCACTTGAAGTGGGAGATTTCTTTTGGCCTTGTGAAATAGCAAGACAAAATGCCACCTTTCAGCATGGTGTGCACCAACATTCAAAGGAAGTCCAAGCAGTTGACCAAATTGCTTCTGTTGAGACTTCCTCTGTATGACCCTGCTGGGTAGCAAGACATATGCCATGCAGATAAGACAGTTGTCTGCCTTGGCTTAGCGTCGCATTGAAGACTGGTGATATCCCCTTTTTCCCCCCTTTTCTTTTTTTGCAATTTCTTCAAAGGACTGCCTTGGTCAGTACTATAACATGTATATTTGCAGTGCCTCTGGCTCTCTTACATGACATCTTTGCAAAAATATACATTGTTTTATATAATGTTTATAAAAGCCCATTCACAAAGTGAATTGGCCCTGGCCCCTGCCTGGTGGAATGAGATCAGGGCCCTGCGGGACCTATTACAGTTCTGCAGGGCCTGCGAGATGGAGCTTTTCTACCAGGCCTTTAGTTGAGACAGCAGGCATCCATTCTGATTAGGCTCCCCCCCCCCCCGAATCTGACTGCAGATTCTGGAAGCCAGACTGGGACCACACTACCTTCCGTTGAGACGTGTTGTTGTTTCAAATGCTGAATGGTTTTAGTGAATTAAGGCTGATGATTTTATGGATCTGCATTAATTGCAGAAATATATGTTGGTACACGCCCTGAGCTTACAATGTAGGAAGGGCGGGATAGAAGTCTAATGAAATAAATAAGAAATCAGATGTAGGTTAACAATGCATGTTAGCACTGAAGTCAGTAGCTTGCAGACCGTATGCATTTCAGCCTCTCCATTGCATCTGTTTTCCCACCCAGGTCATCTTTGCTGAGCTGTTCCAGCTTCCTGTTCCGCCACGCACGGAGGTGATGTACACGACACTTCTTATTGAACTCTGTAAACTTCAGCCTGGCTCTTTACCCCAAGTTGTATCCTTTCTTCTGAAGGTCTCTCTTGTCCCCAGTTAGTTTGTTGTTTTGTGTGGGAAGCAGATGGTTGTAGCAGTAGCTGTTTCGTTCTCTTTTTGAGTGACCATGCTGTCTTTGGAGTGAGATTGTGGTAAAACAATACTGGTAAATACCTTTTCCAGGTTTTGCTTGTTGTCATGCTTTTGCATTGCTTCTTGTTGCTTGTTTCAGATGATTCTTTTCTTCCAACCACAGTGGCTTATTCCTCAGAGCATCCCACCTTATGATTTAAAAAAAAAATTGCTTTATTACTGCAAACACTAAAAAAGGGAAGGGAAATAACGGGTGCTAAGACTAACTGATAATATATAAAGATAAAGCAAGAATCATAATATCTACACAATTCTTGATAGTCATTCCTACTATATCGATATAAGAAGAACAAGGATTAAAGGAATAATACTGGTTGCAATATTTCAAAATTAGTAAAGCTACCCAAATTGGGTACATCATAGTTCCAAATACAAATTAATCTTCCAGAATTTCATTACATTATGTTAATTATCTCCTGTGTTTATTCTTCTCATATTTCATTTGGACTTTAAGAGTTTTAGGAGCCGCTATTCCTTTTTCAGAGTCAGAACCTTCAGAGGGGCTGTCAGAAATAGTTATACTGTCTTCAGACTCATGATCACTCTTTTCATCTGCTTATATGCTGTCCTCTGTTTTCTGTTTACCATTGGGCACTATTTGCTGTTGCTCCAAGAATATTTTTCCTTTTTGGGCAGAGTCAATCATCTCCTTTTTACCATTATAGTTGAAAATAAGACCTTCTGGAAATGTTCACCTGAAGGGAGTGGAATGGTTATATAAAAAGGAGGTTAAGTTTTTATATTGTCTCCTCTTTCGTATCGCAAATGGAATATCCTTTAAGATCTCCCCTACCTTATGGTTATGCTCCTAGAGTTACGCTCTCGGAATTATTCGGAATATCGCTTACTTTTCCAAATAGGACTTTGCAGTGTTTATAAGTAAGAATAGGGCTGAGGTCGAAGGTGGTAATTAACATGCACAACTTCCTTAATTATCCACTGGTAATTCTCCTAATCGCTAATTTAATTTCATCATTGTAACTGAAAAAAGGTTTAATGGATGAATAGGACTGCGCATCATTTTAGTACAGGGTTTCCCTGGCCATATGATTGGAAACCCCTATTATTGGGGGGTATTCAGAGAGAGATGTTATAAGCAAATATTGTTTACTCTCTGCAGTGAAGGGTGGAGGTGGGGCATGAGAGCCCAAGACTGTGTTTAGAGTTCTCCCAGAGATTCAGTGCCTGAACAGGCTCCAAGATACTATGGAGATACTTTTGTTGGTATCTGTTGTATATAGGTAAACCCTCACGGTGAAATGTAGCTCATCCTCAGCACCATGAAAAGGAAGTTAATTGTATATTCAGCTACTGTGTGACATCTCCAAAAAGAGATCTAAACAATTCTTGCATCCACAGCCAATCTTGTTCTTTTACTTTTTGCCAGAAAAATAACTTGAAAGCTTAATTCTGGGCAGCAGGTCCAATAAAAAGCATACTGCCTCTGCTTCTTTTGCATCTTGAAGTTGAGACATAAGTACCCAAGTCATTCTTAGCAGTAGCAGCTGTATACGTGTGTGTGTGGTTTTTTTTGCATATATCCCCTTATGGTTTATATATATAAACTATAAAGAACACCTTAAGAGACTCGTCCTGTTTGGTACCTTAACCAGAAACTCACAGCTGGCACAAGCCACTGAAATGCTGTACATGCGCCTGGACACAATGAATACAACATGCATAGATAGGTGAGTCAATGTGCTAGATCTCCAAGGAGCTTGGTGAAATTGCCACCTTTCCCCCAATTTGAACTGCACCATCTGTGTATAGTTTGCCAAAGCAATTTTATGGTCCATTCTTGTTTTGTGTGTCTCTGTAACGGTGACTCTCAAAGACCATATCTTGGCAATGAGTTGGAAACAGCACCGTGGTACAAAATATATCACTTGGTTTGGAAGTTAATAGGATGCGGTGGAGTTTAAGTGATGGCCCTGTGAATGGCTCTGGGTCAGACGCTGAGAAATTACCAGAACTTGATTTTTGTTTTCCATTTAAGGTTCATCAATTGGTTTTCCCACCATTTGAGTAATTTTCAGTTCCGTTGGAGTTGGGAAGACTGGTAAGTTTCTATATGCCCTATTCTGAGCTTTTGCTTCTAGCTGCCTCGCAAAATGACTTAACTTCCTGTTGTGCCTTTAAATGTAGCCTAATTCTTAGCTCCCTCTGAGGTACTTGTCTCTATAGTGCTGATTACTTTACATCCCAGAAATGATGATGATGATGGCTTTTTGTGGAAAAAGTTAACTCACCCATCTCCCTAGTTTAAAAATGTCTCCCTTTTTGAGCACATTAAGTGGGAATAACTTCACAGTTTGCAGTTATAAATGCTACTCTACTATTAATTTGTTTTCTTAACTGATGTTGCAGTGGAGCTTAAAAGTATCTAAACAGCATGTACAAGGGCAAACATAAGTGGATTAACAGTAATTACATGGTTTTGTTGTTGCTGTTCAATAATAGGTCAGACTGTCTTACGCATGACCTAGACAAGCCCAAACCTAAATTTGTAAAAGAAGTATTGGAGAAATGCATGAGGTAAGTAAAATTTCAGATTGCTTAGGATACAGTTAGCCAGAGTAAGGGATGTATCGAGATAGAATATTAAACTTTGGGGGGAAACTGTGAAGAAACAAATGAAGCAGTCTCTCAGTTCTTACACTGCTTTGTCACTGTGTGTTCATGTACTCCGTCCTCCCTGCACGTGCTCAGTTAGTGCTTTCTATTTTTGTGCAAACCAGTGCTTGCTGTTGCATATGAACTGGCAAGCTATGATTTGTGCCTGCCCTTCAGACCATGATTTGCAAGGCAGCTTCAAATCCCACTTTGGAGGGCCAAGCGCAAGCCATTGGTTGCCAGTTCAGGTATAACAGTGAACGGTGGTTTGCAGTAAAAGTGGACATCCCTAATTGACTTGGAGGATGTGGGTGGAGGAGGAAGAGCACAAGCATCTGGCTCATCCATGTAATGCCAAACTGCAGCTTGGCATTATTCCAAGTGAAGCAACAGCTGGGGTCAGCCACACTGTCTTTTGCAGTCTTGCTACCTCAACAGTAGAACACTTGCAGCTGAAGCAAATTCTGTTCCATTCTGTAGAACTGACTTCCCCCATTAATAGATCTAGAGTCCAGATGTTAAGAAGGAGCCACATTGATACATTTCTGGCTGTTGAACACGTACATCCTTTACGTGGGATATTGCCTGGCTTTTAGCACATAGGAGTGACAAGCTTTCATTTCTGAAAGGTTTCTGTGCTGCAGTAAGAGTTCTTAAAGCATGGCTGTTCTGCAGTTTGGCTTGAGAAATGGAAGAACTTTTAAGCAGTAAAACCCTGTATATTTCAGCTGGCAACGTGACCTGGAAACTTCCAGCATTGGCAAGGAGAGTGCTGTACTTACTCGTGGTCTGTCTACTCTGTGCTTGGCATCTGTCAAAGTCCTTTGTCCACTTTCAGTAAAACCTTTCCTCTTTTTCTCCCTCCCCCCCCGGCAGGCTGTCGTACCATCAGCGAACAGTAGATATTGTTCCGGCCACTTTTTCCGTCCTACTTCCTGCAAATCCAGCGTGCATTTATAAATATGGAGATGAAAGTAACAGTATGTATGCTGTTTGTATGGCTTCTTTAGAAGAAATAATAATTTCTGAGAGAACTTGTCTGTTACCATTTGAGATGATGTGACTACATCGCCCTTAATGTCAAAACCTAATAGTTCTGGGAAGGAGGGCTTTGGAAAAGCGGTTCTCTGAAAGATCATATAACGTAGCATCTCAAAGACTGACAGGGCAGATTGCTCCAGTTGAATCCCGTTTGAAATCTTGGGGCCTTATATGAGCTGTTCTGTCTTAACCTCAGCCCTATGGCCACAATATGGGAATCATTCTTGCTGTCTTGCCAGACTGCTGTAAGGGATCTGGTCAGGTGTAGTTGATAGGGTGTCTGACTTAGGGCTGGAGAGACCGCAATTCAAAACCCTCTTAAGCCATAAAGCTCAGTAGATGAACTTGGGACAGTTGCTGTGCTGCAAAGTCTAATTTACCTCACAGGAGTCCTTTTTTAAAAAAACAGAAAGGATATGGAATCAGCAGAGACTCAGTTATACTGCAGCCAGTTCTCTCCAAGAGCTCAAAAGAAACTTTAGGACAAAGTCCCCAGAGGTTTGTTTTTTTAAGTAGGTTTGTGTGTGTGCTTGCATGCCTGGAAGTCATGGTGACTTCTGGCAACCCCTAGTGGGGTTAGGACATTTCAGAGAGGTGACTTGATACTTGCCTGCCCCTGCAATCCCGGCCCTGGTATTCCAAGGAGGTCTCCCTTCCAAGTACCTGCCAGGGTCAGCCCTGCTTAGCTTCTGAGATCTGATGAGGTTGGGCTTGCCTGGGCTATCCAGGTCAGGGGCGGGTCCCCAGTGTTTTTGAGCCTTTGGAATTCTGACATGGAGTGGTTGGCGCAGCTACAGAATGGCTGCCACCGGAGGTGGAGCCAACCACAAAAGGTCAAGGATTGCAGTTACGTTTAACTCTCATAGTAACTCATCAACATTTCTGGCAGAAGTTTTGTTTAATGAGATGCCTTTTAAAATGGAAGATATTGCTTATTCTTGCATACACAGAGTACATTTGCGGTCGCAGAGTGAAGATTCTTGAGCTGTGGTGACAGTTGCTGCCAAAGCAAGTTTAAAAAACAACAACTGCACAGCCAGTCAGCAACCGTATTGGGCAAAAGTCCTATCTGGCCACACCACTTTCTATAAACGCTTTGGTGAGAAAAGTGTTGGCGGGCACCATGTTGGGGACCCCTGCTTTAAGGAGTCTGGTAGTTTCCTAGTGGCTGGAATTCATTTGGTCCCACAGTTTTTAAATGTTTCAATGTTATGCATTGGGTTCATACATTGGTACATAGCCAGCTTGCATCATACCCACCATGATAAGTAGGCACCCTGCACTCCTGATGTGTGATCTTAAACTTTAAAATGTGGATCCAGACTGGCAGAGGAGGAAGGAGAGGGTGAACACTGATTTGTCCTGGAAGTCTACGGCTCTTCTCAGAACAGGAACTTGGTGAGTTCACGGTCTTTCGTTTACAAAACAACTGTGCCAAACTTCTAACCGAACATTTTTTTTTGCCTTTATGTGTAGAGTCTCTTCCTGGATACAATGCCGCACTCTGTTTAAACATCGCCGTTAAAAATAAAGCAAGCAATGAGGAAATCCTCACTATTCTGAAGGATGTGCCCAATCCTAATCAGGATGATGATGATGGTAAGGGTTTTTAACAGCAACAAAAGAATTCAGTCCATCTGGATACTACTATGAATTGCTAAATTACGGTGTCTCATTCAAAGACTGTGTAGGCCAGGGTGTAAAGAGATTCTTTTAGAGTTACATTTGAGCTAAACTTGTCTAAATCCCTCTTGGGATTAGTTTCACGATTCCTTGGATTCAGGCTGTACATTTCATATCACCAAAATGGACTGATCAAAATTGCTTATTTACATGAGCATGCAGAAAGACATAAGCATAAACAAGACGGTGTTTGACCTGCTTGGAAATTCTCATTTTCCCCATGATTAATGTTCAGCTGGAGTCGTATTTATTAAAATATACCTCGAAAGCGGGTCCTTAATATAGCTTAGCATAAGCATGGGGGTATCTTTGATGAATAAACTTTTACACAAGCTTCGTTTGAATGTATGCTGGTGTATTTTAAAGAAAATGATAAAATTCCTTGGACGATGAAGGCATAGCCGTGGCAAATACGCTGAGGCTAATTTGGGATGAACAGCCTTGATGGGCTGGAGAAGAGTTGTCAAAAGCGTTCCCGCTTAACCATCATCATGAGAGAGTCTTGCATTTCTTAAAAGAAGGTTTAAGATGGGCAAAAAGAAACATTCTGATGAATTCATCAGACACGAGTCGAAAGTGCAGGGGAAGTACCGACTCAGGCGGAACTTTTTTTCTCTCTCCAGACGAAGGCTTCTCCTTCAATCCTCTGAAGATAGAAATATTTGTACAGACCTTGCTTCATTTGGCTGCCAAGTCATTCAGTCACTCCTTCAGTGCTCTGGGAAAGTAAGTATTTCTTTCGTATCTGGTTATCATCTCCTTAACTCCATGATGAGGTCGGACTTGACGTGCAAGCAAAACCCATATATTTAAGGGGAGAACTGATTTCCTGCATTTTGAATAAGCATGTTACCTGTTCGTTTCCACTGTGCAGTCTATAG